GATCAGGCAGTGGTTATCTTCCTGTGTCTGGCTTAGTTCACTTAGCAGCACATGCTCAGGTTCATCGTGTGGTTGAGATGACAGGTTTCCCTCACTTTTAAAGCTGACGATGTGCCAGGTGTCTGTGTCCCCTGTTGGTCCCTCCATCCATCAGTGGGCACGTGGCTGCTTGCTTGCCTTGGTTATTGTGGACAGTGCTGCAGTGAACACGGGGGTGCCAGTGCAGAAGTGGAGCCCTGGAGCACAAGGCAGTTGCTGTCGTTACTTTTTGAGGAGCCTCTGTAGCCCTTCCACATGGCCGAGCTGTCTTTCCTTCCCACTCACCGAGCTCCCTTTTCTCTGCAACCCCTCATGAGCACCTCAAATTTAACATTCCCCAAACCAAACTCCTGATCCTTTCATCCCCCAAATATCTCCTGGTTGTCTTTTCATTTCTTGTTCCCTAAACATCAAATACATCTTTGCATTTGTCATTCAGGCCACGGTTTTGGAATCACCTTTGCCTACCCTTTCTCGTATACCCCTCATAACATTTATCATCAAATTGTGTTGGCTGTGTCTTGAGAATCTGGCCTCCGCTACCACATCTGCTGCTCAGTGTCCTGCTGTCTTCCCGTTCAGCTTTTGTGCTCAGTGCTTCAGAGAGCAGCCAGAGGGGTCCTTGGAACACACGCCAGGTGTTGCACCCGTTGGCCCAGAGCCTCCGTGACCTCACATCAGGTGAGCCACTGTCCTGCCAGTGCCTGTGTGCTGTGGCCTCTTCCTGAGCCCTTGTTGCTTGGTGCTTTACTGGCAGATGTGCCTTTCCCCCACCAGGCTCTTCTCCGATGAAGGTGGGTGGGTGACTCCCTTGCCTTCTCTGTTGTGTGCTCAGATGGCACCTGTGAAGTTGGAGTCTCTCTGCCTGAGATATGATGACATTCTCAGCCTGTATTCTTCAGAGTGTGATGGTTTTGCCTTCTGTGTGCTCCTGGCCACTCTCAGAGCTACCTCTGGGTCTATGTGAGCTCCCACAGTGCCCTGGTGGAGTAGGCCTCCCTCCTGTGTGCCCTGCTGCCAGCGCACACTTCTGTTCTGGCGTCGCTTTGGTCCAGTGGCTCAGGCCTGCCTCTGTGTCCTCTTGACCTTTCCTAGCTTCTCTCATTTAAAGCGCTGCATCAGAGCTTCCGTTTGCTCTCATGAGAAGTGGATTTAAGATGTGGTGAGCACAATGGGAGGGGGAAGCATGTGATTTTGGGGTCAGGAGAGGACTGGTGTGTTTGGAACCTATTCATACGGGTTTCCAGACTGTGGCCAGATCTGGCCCACAACCTGTTTTATTGTGGCCCATGAGTTAAGAATGGTTTCTACATTTTTAAGTGGTAGGGGAAAAATAAAATTTCATGACACATGAAAATTATATGAACTTTAAATTTTGGCACCCACAGGAGTTTTATTAGAGCCCAGCCATGCTCGTTTGTTTAGGTGTTGCTGTGGCTGCTTTGGGCCTTAAGGGCAGGACGAAGAAATTGTGGCTGAGGCCTTCTGGCCAGCAAAGCCTAAAATACTTACTGTGGAGGTCCTTTACAGGAAAAATTTGCGACCCCGCACAGCAGATTGGCCTGGGCTGTCAGGGACAGCCTCAAAGCCCTGTGCTGACGAGGAAGGAGAGGTGGGAGGAGGGCTGGGGTTCTCCATGCTTGCCCTCGGCTGTTTGTGGCAGGAGATGGAAATGTTTTTATTTTCTGCTTTTGATCAATCTAGCCTGGTGAAATCAGCAAGCAACGTTTATGGTTTTAAATAACAACCAGATAGTGTTATTTTAATCTCTGAACTTGTGTGCGTTTGAATCATTTTTCTCAGTGACAGTGGTTAAACTACTTTTAACCACATATGCCAGCTTTTACTGAACTAGAAGGTATTAGAATAAATCTTTTAACAAGTGCAAGCGACTAGTCTTGCAGCGTTACAATGACCTGCACTTAGCTTAAAAACCTAAAACCTGCAGATAAAACCTGCAGATCTGTTCAAACTTGAAGGAAATGAAATTCTACCTTTTGTGTAATTGAAAGGATTTTTTTTTTGCTCTGTAATGTAACATTTCATTTCTTCGCTGTCTTCAGGGTGTGCATTCCTATCTAACAGGAATGTCTAAGGGTTGAATTTTAATTGTTCTCCCAAGTACTTTCTGTCTTCTGTGACTAAAAGCTAAGCTTTTTAAAGTCTTTGTGAATATTTTTTGTTTGGTTAAAGCAGAAACGAGGATTTTTTAAAAAAATTTTTAATAGTTGTAGACGGACAGCATGCCTTTATTTAATTAATTAATTTTTTAATGTAGTGCTGAGGATCAAACCCAGTGCCTCACACATGCTAGGCAAGCGCTCTGCCACTGAGCCCCAGCCCCAGCCTGAGTGTTGTTTTTAATCAATAACATTTGCTCTATGGGAGCGGCTGACCTTTCCCAGCTGTCCTTGGTCAACCATGTGTCCAGCTGTTCTGCCCTGGGCTGAGCATGGGCTTTGCGGAGTGCCTCGGGGTTTGTATCTGCAGTGCCACACGGTTCCTTCAAGGCTGTGGAGGTGAATAATACTGGTGGAGTTCAGTGCTGTCCTTCAGTAGGACTTTGTCCTCATCTGGTGGAGTTGTCTTTGTTAGGTTGTGTAAAATACAGTGAGTAGAATCTGGAGCTCTTCGTTCACAGCCTCTAGAGAAAAGGTTTTTTTCCCACTCCTACCTTTTACAGAGGGAAACAGGCATCTAAGATGTTCTCTGCCCTCAAGAAATGAAAAATACAGTTAATAAGGTTGTGACCCCTCCATTTAAGCTTATCCATCACAGTACTTACTGGGGAGGAGAAATTTGATGACATCTACATGTATCCACATCTTAAAACGCAGCCAGTTTTCAAGGTTCTATTTTGAACCTGGGCCCTTGGTTCTAGGCAAGTGCTCCATCTGAGTTGTATCCAGCGACATGTGGACGATCTCTCAGAGGGAAGGGAAGAGTGGTCTTGAGGACTCCTCAGATGCTGCCTCAGAGGACTCAGTTCACGCCTCGCACCAGGCCTGGTACCTGCCACTCTGCTTCTGCCAGGTCTCCTCACTGTTTAAACCTGACTTGAACAAACTCCGTCAGTAGAGGCCAGTTTTGGCCCCCAGAGACTCAGTGGTGACATCTCCAGCCTTTTTTACTTTGAGACAGGGTCTCACTAAGTTGCTTAGGGCCTTACTAAGTTATTGAGGCTGGCCTCAAAATTGCAATCCTCCTGCCTCAGGCTCCCAAGCCACTGGGATTACAGGTGTGTGCCACCATGCCTGGTCCCTTTTTCAAATTTTATTTTGACACAGGATCCTGCTGAGTTGCCCAAGCTGGCCTTGAACTTGTGGTCCTCCTGCCTCAGCCTACCGAGTTGCTGGGATCATAAGTGTGTGACCCTGCACCTGGCTCAAAAAGTGTTTTTTTTTTTTTTTTTTTTAAGGAGATGCAGGATTCTCTCAGGCAGAGAATTGGTATGACCTGCACTTAGAATGGGCTGGACTGGGGGAGGTTCAAGTGAATGACTTATGTGTTTCTAGTTATTGACTTTTTTAGGTACCAGGGATTGAATGCAGTGATGATTAACGACTGAGCCACATCTCATCCCTTTCTATTTTTTGTTTTGAGACAGGCTCTTGCTAAGTTGCTTAGGGATCTCACTAAGTTGCTGAGGCTGGCTTCAAACTTGAGACTCTCCTGCCTCAGCCTCCTGAGTTGCTGGGATTACAGGCATGTGCCACTGCATCTGGCTCCAATTTTTAATTGATTATACTCTGCTCTGCCTCTTTCCGAGAACAAATTTGAGATGTCTTAAAAAATAAAAAGCATTACAAAAAGATAAGGGAGGGGCTGGGGATGTAGTTCAGGGGTAGATCACTTGCTTAGAGTGTGGGAGGCCCTGGGTTCCATCCCCAGCTCTGTGGGGAAGGGCTCTGGGGGAGGTAAAGGCCAGACAGAAAAAGTAAGGATTCTCATTGTTGAAGTGGGACATAGATTTGAACCCAGACTTATCAAAGGCCTAGAGAGAGTCAGCTGACTTCTGTAGCCTGTTAAGACAAATGCCGCATGTGGTGTCCAAGAATTCTTAGGGCTTAAGCTCACAGTGAGGTGCTACTCCTGGCCCTGGAAAGGAAGGGGGCATCTGTAGAGTGCCCTCTGTGGCCAGAACCACACAGCGCCCCTAGTTCAGAGTTACTGTGTGGCTTCCTTATGGTCTGGCTTAGCACAAGGAAGGATGTGGGGTCAGTCCTGTGAGGCAACAGTGAGAACAAGGAGGATGTGTTTGAGGTCACTAGCAGAGTCTCTTCAGTTGTCCAGCGTGGCAGTTTTTCTTACATTAAAACAGGTTGCTGTTCTTTTATGTGAGTTATAGAATGTGGAAATTGGCTTGCATTTAGGTGCCAAATTGAACACAAAAAATTCTTAGCTTTAGTGCTCTGGAATGAGAGCCAGTGCAGGCAATACTCTGGAGCCAAGTGCCCAGAGTGGCACCACAAAGCCCCCTCTCTCCCTGAGTGGGAGAGCTGGCGCATGTCGTCCCCCCTTGCCCCATCTGGTCAAGCGTAGAAAAGTGACGTGTGTATGTTGCTGGCTTCCCTTATACCTGGGGGGTGAGTCATTCTCATCATTAACTCAGGTGCACGTTGGGTGATGGCAGATGTGTAAGTACTGACAGTCATCTGCACTGGATCTAGGCTGTCGTGTAGGGTGGAAATTCTGGGGTCAGCAGTCTTCTAATTGTAGCTCTGCCATCACTCCCCCTTTCTGCCTATAAAACGGAGTATTGGCCTGAGAAGTTACTTCAAGAATGAGGGGAGCCTGCACACTGTAGGCGCCGTCTGTGTAGTCTTGACTTGTGTTGTGACTACAGGGCTGGGGCAGGCAGGTCCAGCTTAACTCCCCATGAAGGCGTGAAGCAGTTTTCTGACCAGATGTTTGGAAGTCAATCTTTTTTTCACGTTTGTAATAATTTTATCCTCTTCCAGAGAAACAGCACCCAGGACCATCTTCCAAAGAGTGTTGGACATCTTAAAGAAGTCTTCTCATGCTGTGGAGCTGGCCTGCAGGGACCCATCCCAGGTGGAGCATCTGGCTTCCAGTCTGCAGCTGATAACTGAGTGCTTCAGGTGTCTCCGGAACGCTTGTGTGGAGTGTGCTGCGAACCAGAATGCAATCAGGTGGCGTTCCCTGTGATGCATGCAGCTTCGGCCATGCTGGTGTTTGACCTTGTAGTTCCCCCAGGGTATTGTGGGGCTGTCCCTCCTTTACGCTGGGAAGCATTCCTCTTCACTTCCCTCCCAGACAAGCTCAGGCCAGTGCACGAGGTTGCAGCATGGAACAGTGCAGACACTAGGGCCACCTAGCTTTCCTGTTTATCTTATTTTTTTTCCATCTTTTTAAGTTGTACATGATTTTGAGGTTGAGTGTGACATATTTGTTGCATACACAATGTAACAATATAATCGTGAACACAATGTAAGAATAGAATTTGGTGGTATTGTTTTCCAGTGTTTCCCTTTCCCTCGTCTCCTCCCTTCCCCAGTTCTTTCTTCTATCTTGCTGTCCTATGTATATTTATAACACGTTTTGAGATTTTTTGTTTCTGCTCATAACAGTGATTGAACTTCATTTTGATTCTTTATTTCTAGATTCTGCCTCCTGAGTTCATGTGCAGTTCTTGACCTTACTTTTCTTAGTTGTGAATGTCTCATTTGCTTTTACTGATTTAATTAGTTACCCTGTGTTTACTTTGAACAAGAAGCCTCTTTTGTAAATTTCTAAGATCTTGAATATAAATGTTCCAAGCTCTACTTCCATCCACGTTACAATGTACAGATTTTAGTAAGTTCTTTTCTCTATTATGCCTTCCTAGAGCTGAACGTCTGTCTTCTTTGATTTTTTGGAATCTGCTTTATTTTGTGGGTACTGGGGATTGCACTCGGGGTGCTCTACCTCTGAACTACATCCCTAGCCCTTTTTATTTTTTATTTTGAGAAAAGTCTTACTAAGTTGCTGAGGCTGGCCTTGAACTTGTGATCCTCTTGTTTCAGCCTCTGAAGGTGCTGGGATTACAGGCATGTGCCACTATGCCCCCTTAGGAATCTGCTTTTTATTAAAAAGTTTTATTTGAAGTGAATTCCGAAGCCACAAGGAGGATATTCATGTTTCTTTCCTGGACTTGCATGTAGACAAAGCCTTCAGGCTTCCCTGTCACTGATATGATGGGTGAAGTGGGGCTAGTCCAGAAGCCACTTGAGGGACTCCCCTTGTTGCTTAGACAGTCTTATACCTGAGGCTTTAATATGATTAAGATTATGCAAGATCAAAGGAGGCGAGAAAGGGCCAAAGTTGTTTAACTTCAATACTAAGCTCAAACTACCATCCATTTGCAGAAAAATAGAAACAATAATAGTCTTGCTAACAATAGTTAATATTTAAGAATATAACTAGCTATGGGGCTGGGGATGTGGCTCAAGTGGTAGCGCGCTCGCCTGGCATGCACGGGGTGCTGGGTTTGATCCTCAGCACCACATAAAAATTTTTTTTTTTTTTTTTTTTTTTTTTTTTTTTGGAGAAGGCTATGAGAAAATATAAAATTTCTCTCTCTCTTTATATAAAAAAACAAATGAAAATGGAATATAACTAGCTATGTGCTAGAAGCATCCAGCCAGAAGGCTTGTTTCTTTGGTTTCTTTCCAGGTGGGGAAGTACTTAATGTGTGTGTGGTGGCAGCTTAGAGCAGAGATCTGTGACTGCAGACTTGTCCTGGTGGGGAAGAAACCGAGCCCAAGCACCTGGCTTTGTCCCAGGTCTTTATTTGCAGTACCTTATTTAATCTATAGATCAAACCAAAGAAACAGCATGCTATTATCTCCCCATTTTTATAAGAAGAAACTGTGCTTCAGAGAGGTAAAATAACTTGTTCTAAAGTCACTCATTGAATCAGTGGCATGTGACCCTAAAGCTCTCAGTTGAAAGCAGGGGCTATGCCCTTCTGAGGCTTGCATATCGGCCCTGTTGCCTGTGACAGCTGTTTGCCTTATGTGGCCACATAGCCTTGGACGTGGGATGAAGCCATCCAGAGTGTCTGTTTTCTCCCTGGTAAACAGAGCGAATGCTGTCTTCCTGTGGGCTGGGTGAGAGGGCTATGAGATTACCTTGTCTGCAGATGCCTGTGCAGGCTCAATTGCCAGTGTTCTTGTTTCTGCCTGAATCAGGGAGGACGCCCATATTTAAGATAATGCTACTTTTTAAAAAAAACAATTAGTTTTACTTTTTGAGATATACATTCAAACTGTAAAAATTGAAATAGTTTAAAAAGTAGATGTTTTATGGCACACAAATATCAGTAGTTTGTTAGCACGGCTGTCACGGTGGGTGTGGGGTAGTGAGGCAGTCAGCAGACCAAAGCGAGGGTTGGAAGGGAGTCAGTTTTCTGCCTCAGAGCTTCTAGGGTTGTATTACTGCTGTTGATTTTCTCAGGGAATTTCCAGCTCATTTAGGCCTTTATCTCCCAGAAAACAATTTTGAGTCAGAAACAGAACAGAAATTCCAGTGAGGACTTTGCTGCCACCTTTAACTAAAACTAACCTATAAGAACAATCAATACTCAGGTTGTAATCTATGGTATTTTTCTGGAATTTTATTTTACATTTTTAATTAAAGGTTAATTGAAAGATGGGGCTAGAATGTGGCTCAGTGGTAGAGCACTTGCCTAGCACATGCCAGGCCCTGGGTTCCATCTCCAGCACTGCTAGGAGGCTTGGTCAGGATTAATGAAAGGTGTAATGCTGCGCAGGCCTGCAGGCCTTGGTTGTGTGGTATGGAATGGAACATAACACAGCGAAGAAACAGTTTAAGGCTGTGCAACTTCCAGAAGTGCTTGAAGAAGACTGTTTAAAGCTGTGAACTCTACATGTCAATAGCACCCCTGCTGCTGAGGCCCCTGTGCCACTTCTGTTAAGGGTGGGAATGTGAGGCTGTGGGATCTGTCAGTGTCTCAGCTCTGCCCTGTTGAAGCACGAAAGCAGCCACAGATAGTATGTGAATGGATGAGCATGGCTGTTTTCCAACGAAGCTTCGTTTCTGAATATTGAAATTTGAATTTCATAGAATTATTGTGTCATGAAATTACATTCGTTTGAATGTTGTCCATAGAGGCTGGCAGCAGGCCCACAGCCTGTGTTCTTTATGTAGAAGTGAAGCAGGAGGAAGGTGCTGAGCTGTCTCCCCATGGTCATCTGCCAAGGTGAAGAGGCAGGGAGCAGTGGCTCTGACCTCTTGTCGCAGGGTGACAGCCATATGTACAGGGATCCTGAACATCGGAAAATCCCTTTCATTAAACCTGGGGCTTCACACAGTGTCTGGACTTGGATCTGTGTAGGTCAGGATCCTTCTCTGATCATGTTTGGGAGCTGTACTATTTTCCTGTTCCTATTGTGACAGATCACCACCAAGTTAGGGCTTGAAGCAGAAGGGTTTTTTTTGTTTTGTTGTTTGTTTTTTATACTTTATTTTGTAGTTGTAAATGGACAGAATGCCTTTATTTGTTTGTTTTTATGTGGTCCTGAGGCTTGAACCCAGTGCCTCATGCATGCTAGGCAAGGCTCTGCCACTGAGCTACAGCCCCGGCCTGAAGCAACAGAGTTTTTATTGCATAGCTCTGGGGCTTGCAGGTCCAAGAACAGTCTCACTGGCCTGAAGTCAGTGTTTGCAGGGCTATTTTTCTGGAGGCTCTAGGGAGAGTTTGTTTTCGGTAGCTTCTAGAGCTGCTTGCTCTGCTGGGCACAGAGCTCCATTCTCCATCTGCAGAACAGCAGCGTAGCATCTGACAGTCTTTGTTTCTGACTGTGACCCTCCTGTATCACCCTCACAAGGCTATTACTATTAGAGGCCTGCCGAGATCTCTCAGATAATCTATCTCAAAACTATGAATCTGATCATATCTAAACAGTCTCTTGTGGTGTTTTCTGACACCAGCCAATTCTGATTCTCTACCACTGGGTTTCCCACAACTCAATTCTGTTGTGACACTGTCTGTTGGGAAGTCAGAGGTGTTGGATTCCACAACTTAAAGGCTCAGATACTCTCTCTTCAGGAGCCAGCTAAAAATGGAATGCCCAGGCTTCCAGGTTTCTGCATAACTGACTCACAGTTGGGGTTCCTGTGACTCCCCTCAGGACTACAGAACTCCAGGAAGGTGTCACTCACTGTAGCTGGTTTATTACGAAGGTCACTTAAGGAACAGTGAGGGGAAGGTGTGTGGGGCAGGTAAGCAGCTGGTGCCAGTTTCCCTGCCTCTGTCCCTGATGCCTCTCTTGGCAGTTTGATGTGTTTGCCAACTTGGAAGCTTTCCAAACCTCATTGTTGAGGGATTTTTGTGAGGTTTCAGGATGCAGACATGATTAATTAAGCCATTGGCCATTAGTGTAGATTCCATCTTGGTCATTCTCCCTTGCTCTGAGGCCAGAAGTGGGCTGGAGTTTCTACCCTTTTATCACTTGGCCAGTTCTTTTCTCTAGCCACCATCCTGAAGCTCTCAACAACAGATGCTGCTGTCATTCAGCAAGTTCTAAGGGTTCTAGGAACTCTGTGCAAGGAACCCAAGACAAAGAACCAAGGCTGGGTCTCTATTACCACCTCTTTCTTGCCATATGGTGATGTTCACAGGTCCTGGGTTTAGGATATGAGCATCTTGGGAGGATCATCCTTTTACCTGCTTTGGCCTTTTGGCCCTTGAACATTTACCTCTGTCATTCATATAGAATATATTTGTCCCATCTCAAGGTTCCCCAAATTCTTGACCTATTATAAGCAACAACTCATGTTTAGAATGTCCCTGCATCTCAGCTGAAAAGTCCCAAATCTAGGCATCTAAATTGTGTAACTTATAAGACTTGAGTGTGAACTTTTCTGGGCAGATCCTTTTCGTCTATGACCTGAAACTGGACACTGAGTATCTGCTTGCCAGGGCAGGCACGAGGTGACAGTTGAACAGGCACGATGGCTGTCTGCACCATGGGCTTTCTGTTATGCTCCCCAGGGCTCCTCTGCCTCTGCCCGTTGCCAGATCCCAAAGTGTTGAGTGCCACAGCCGAGTCGGGATGACGCATGGCATTTTTGCCAGAAGTAGTGGTTGAGAGGTGACGCCAGCGAGCCATTAAATGATGACTTTTGAGTTCTCGAGGAGTTCCCATTGAGTTCCGGTTGAGCTCTCGTGGGGATTCCTGAAGAGTTTGCATTGGTTAGGGAAGTGCCGGAGGAGGGATTTCCGGTGTGTGATTCCTGGAGGAGCTGCGTGGCGTTCGGGAGAGTTCCCAGGGAGCGTGTGTGGAGTGTGCTGGTGGTTCAGAAATAAAGTTTGTTCCTGCTTGAGTGGCTCGTGATTTGTGCCCAATCAGACTGCGGCACCAAAGCACCTGGCACATTTTACGGATCTGTTACAGCAGCACCCTCTTCTGCTACCCATCTCTCTATGAGTTCCTTTTGCTGATGTGACAGATTTCCAGAAACTTAGTGCTTTCAAACACCATACCTTTCTTATTGGAAACTGAGAAGTTTAGAAGTGGTTCTGAAGGGCTGTGTTTCTTCTCTCTAAGGACAGCTGGCTTCCTTGCCTGCCCAGCTCCTAGAGGCTACTGCACATACCCCCATGTGTTCCTCTTGTAAGAATCCCTGTGGTTTGCTGGGCCCCCATATAATCCAGGACAATTTTCTCATTTTAAGATTCTTAATTTGGTCTTGTCTGTAAAGTTCCCTTTGCCATGTAAGACAGCATATTCATAGACTTGGTGGACTATGGGTGCTGTTGCCCTGCACACGATGGGAAGTGTTAGTTGGTAGTTCCAGCATTATGCATCAGGTCATCATTTGAAATGCAGTTTTAGGAAAGCGTATATGTCTAACTTTGTCTTTTCAAAATCCGATACAGAAACCTGGATACGATTGGTGTGGCTGTTGATTTGGTTCTTCTGTTCCGTGAACTACGAGTGGAACCGGACTCCCTCTTGACAGGTAAACCACAGTATAATTCACGGATTATTTATATCTTGGAAAAGGATTTAAACCAAGACTCTTGAGTAGTGCATCATCCATTGAAGCACGTGTTGTGTATTTTGAGAGACAGGGAAACAATGAATTATTAAAGAGTTAGCATAAACGAAAGTTTCAGTGACTCCCTTCCTCCCTGATGTGGGCTGAACGATCTCTCCCTGTTGATGCTGAAATCTCTTAATCTGTTCAGGCAGCTGTAGTAAAGTCCTTAGCCTGGACTAACTAACAAACCATAGAAGTTTAGCACTCACAGTTCTGGGGACCAGCACATTTGGTGTCATGAGGGCTGCCTTCTGCCTCCAGATGGTGCTGTCTTGCAGCATCTTCACATGATGGCAGGACAGAAGGGCACATGGGCTTCTTCTGACCCTGACCAGCCACCTGCCCAGGCCCCAGCCTCTTACCAGCAACACATGGGGATTTGAGTTAAACGCAGACATTTTAGAAGGACACAAAGTAAGTGAGGACATTTGACTCATAAGAGAGGGTGTTAGGGCACATACACACAGAGGCAAGAGCACCTGGGGACACAGGGGGAGAGGGTCATCTAGTGCTAAGAGAGGTCTCAGGAGTCAGCCTTGCTGCAACCTTGCCTTTGGACTTCTAGCTCCAGAAGTGTGAGAACATGAACATCTGTCGTTGGTTCTTTGTCATGGGTGGCATCCTGAGCTGTCTAATGCACTGTTTTTTTTTTTTTTGTTGTTGTTGTTTTTTAAATATTTACTTTTTTAGGTGGACACAATATATTTATTTTATTTTTATGTGGTGCTGAGGATCAAACCCAGTGCCTCACACATGCCAGGCGAATGCGCTACTACTTGAGCCACATCCTCAGCCCCTACACTGTTTTTTTGATATTTATGAATATGATAGGTCCTCTTCTAGGTTTTGGGTGTGATTCCAACAGTGACCAAAACAGACAAAAATCTTTGCCCTAGGGCTCACATTCCAGTGGGAGCCAGATATAAAATCTGTTAATTAAGCCAAATACGTGGTGTGACAGAAAGGGAAGCTGGCTGTGGTCCTTAAGGGCTTTGACAAGGGATTAAGAGCAGCCAGCTGCTTAGCTGGAAGGCTGAGAGGTTCTCAGGCTGTTTTGAGTGGTTTTGGTCTGCTTATTCCTAGCACCAATACTTCTCCTTTGAACGAGAGTTATTATCTCGACGAAATATTAAAAGCCTCTAGACTTTCAAATACAGTCTTGTCTAAGGAATTGAGATACTATATGGGCAAAGGATTCTCAAGAAAATGATAGGATGTCCCATTGAGTCATAAGTTGTTCTACATTTAAATGTGTTTTTGTGGCTCCATTTTAAAACTAAAATGGAAGTGTCAGTATTTAATTGGGGGATTAGAAATCTATAGTGAAGCCAGTGTTGTGACTATTCAGTAGGAAGCTCAGGGTGTGCACTGCGCTGCGTTCCCTGACAGCTAGCAGGTCCTGAGGTGGTGGGCAAAGTGCCTCTGGCAGAGCAGAGGTGCTGTGGGTTTTCTTCTAGTGGTGTGTTCCTGATAGAGCAGCAGGGCCTGAGGCCACCCAGATGCTGGGGTAGCCAGCTCCTGGGGCCCAGCCCAGCCCCGACCCTGGATCCTGGGCGCTGACCCACGCACGAGCAGCTCCCCTGGGAGTAACCTCTGGCTCCTGGCCTCACTCCCCCCCTGGCACCCGTGCTGCGCCCTCTCACCAGCAGGGCCTGTGCAGGCTCCTGCTTTCTTCTTCCATAACCTTCCTTGACTCCACCTTCCCCTCGCCCCTCATTCCCACTTTTTCTGTGTTATCCGAAATTCCTATGAAAGGTTATGTAGTTTTTATCATACTTGATGACTGGTTCTTTCTCCCTTTATTCATAGTACTGCTTTCCCTGAAGCAAGCAGGTTTCCTAAGAACACATGCCTAAGCCTGCTTTTGAGATCCAGTTTGTTGTGGAGGAATTAATTGCTTGGCTGGTATTGAAAGAGTAGATCCTTACAGACCCGTTTTCTGTTAGCTATTTCAAGATCTGTTCACAATTTCAATGGATAGTTGCAGTCTTATTAGTATAATTATTTTTTATTAGCGTGAGGCTCATATAACAAAATGCTCTCTTAGTGGGAGCAGTGCAGTGGCATTTAGGGTGTTCACAGCATCGTGCATCTCCACCTCTGCTCAGAGCAGCCTGTTTCCAGGAAGTGCTTCCTCTGGATTTCCCTCCTGTCACCCCTACATTCTGCTTCCTCTGTGGACTCAGCCTATTCTGGATTTTTTTTCTGCAGTACTGGGATTGAACTCAGAATTGCAGATTGAACTGCAGAACTGGGATTGGATGTGCTCTATCTCTGAGCTACATCCCCTGTCCTTTTACTTTTTATTTTGAGGTAGGGTCCCACTGAGTTGTCTAGGCTGGCCCTAAACTTGGGATTCTCCTGCCCCAGCTTCTGGCGTAGCTGGGACTGTAGGCATGTGTCATTGCCGCCAGTCAGTGTGGCCTTTTGTGTCTGGCTCCTTTTCCTTATCATGATGTTTTTGGGGTTCATCCATGCCGTTCCTGTTCCTGTTCTGGCTGAATGCCATTCTGTTGTGTGATTATGTCACATTTTGTTTATCCACTAGTCGGTTGGTAGACATTTGGCTGGTGTGGATAATGCTCTTGAGTGTACGTGGATTGGTTTGAGGGCCTGAATTCCATTCCTCTGGGTCTGTACCTAAGACTGGAATTTCTGGGTCATGCGGTCACTCTATGCTTAACATTTGGAGGCCCCGCTGAATTTTTCCACAGCTGGTGGGCTACTGTGCTTTCACCAGTAGGTCTGAGTGTCCAGTTTTTGCACACCTGTGCTGGGTACTTTCTTTTTTTGGATTATAATCATCCTGATGGGTGTGAAGTAATGGCCCTTCATTGTGATTTTTATTGCCCAAATGACCAGTGACGCTGAACATATTCTCAGGTGCTTATTGACCATTTGTGAATCGTCTTTGGAAAAACACCTGTTTGTCCTTTGCTTGCTTTTTTTTTTAAAAAAAATATGTTTTTTAGCTGTAGCTGGCCACTGGCCACTAGCCACAATACCTTTATTTCACTTATTTATTTTTATGTGGTGCTGAGGATCGAACCCAGGGTCTCGCACATGTGAGGCGAGCACTCTACCACTGAGCCACAACCCCAGCCCCCTTTGCCTACTTTTTAATTGCACTGCTGTTTTACTGTTGAGTTGTAAGAGTTATTTACATGTCGTGGAGACCTGGGATTGCTGACTCTGTAGATCCATTTGTGGAGATTTGCCATCTCAACAATATTGCGTCTTCTAGTCCGTGAGGGTGGAACATTTTCCATTTATTTAATTGTTTAATTTTTCATGTGTATCAGTTTTAAATAGCTGACTCGTGTTCAGTGGCAGATTTGGAGAGAGATTACGAGGCAAGAGAGAAAATGAAAACTAAATAAAATTTCTTGTCACCTTCTTGGAAAAGCCGTGAAATCACCGATTTTTGTTTGGAATTCAACACTGAAATTTGGATTCAGCAACAAATGGGACTTACTTAAACTAAAAAGTTTTTTCTCAGCAAGAGAAACAATAAGAGAGGTAAATAGGGAGCCTACATCATGGGAACAAATTTTTACTCCTCACACTTCAGATAGAGCCTCAATATCCAGAGTATACAAAGAACTCAAAAAATTAAACAATAAGATAACAAATAACCCAATCAACAAATGGGCCAAGGACCTGAACAGACACTTCTCAGAGGAGGACATACAATCAATCAACAAGTACATGAAAAAATGCTCACCATCTCTAGCAGTCAGAGAAATGCAAATCAAAACCACCCTAAGATACCATCTCACTCCAGTAAGATTGGCAGCCATTATGAAGTCAAACAACAAGTGCTGGCGAGGATGTGGGGAAAAGGGTACTCTTGTACATTGCTGGTGGGACTGCAAATTGGTGCGGCCAATTTGGAAAGCAGTTTGGAGATTCCTGGGAAAGCTGGGAATGGAACCACCATTTGACCCAGCTATTGCCCTTCTCGGACTATTCCCTGAAGACCTTAAAAGAGCGTACTACAGGGATACTGCCACATCGATGTTCATAGCAGCACAATTCACAATAGCTAGACTGTGGAACCAACGCAGATGCCCTTCAATAGATGAATGGATAAAAAAATGTGGCATTTATACACAATGGAATATTACGCAACACTAAAAAATGACAAAATCATGGAATTTGCAGGGAAATGGATGGCACTAGAGCAGATTATGCTAAGTGAAGCTAGCCAATCCCTAAAAAACAAATGCCAAATGTCTTCTTTGATATAATGAGAGCAACTAAGATCAGAGCAGGGAGGAAGAGCAGGAGGAAAAGATTAACATTAAACAGAGACATGAGGTGGGAGGGAAAGGGAGAGAAAAGGGAAATTGCATGGAAATGGAAGGAGACCTTCATTGTTATACAAAATTACATATAAGAGGTTGTGAGGGGAATGGGAAAAAAAAAAAAACAAGGAGAGAAATGAATTACAGTAGATGGGGTAGAGAGAGAAGATGGGAGGGGAGGGGAGGGGGGATAGTAGAGGATAGGAAAGGTAGCAGAATACAACAGTCACTAATATGGCATTATGTAAAAATTGTGGATGTGTAACCAGTGTGATTCTGCAATCTGTATATGGGGTAAAAATGGGAGTTCATAACCCACTTGAAGCTAATATATGAAATATGATATGTCAAGAGCTTTGTAATGTTTTGAACAACCAATAAAAAAAAATTTGGATTCAGTAGGAAACTTAATTTTTTATAGTGTGCTAGTTCAAATCTAAAAGGATCTTGTTAAAAGAATTCTGGTTTCTATAAAGTACCTGTACTATCTTTTGATTCTTTCTCTGTGAGAACTTCATTTTAGGGAGATTTTTAGCAGGGTAACTGTGCCAGTTTTTTGTTACCACTCTTGAGGTAAGAACTGTAATTATATTGTCAAAATAATATTTAGAG